CGCCCAGCGGAAATATAAGTTTACATTTACTGTCGGCAGTAACGGCTGCTATGAATCTAGCATAGACAAAGTTTTAGTTATACTCTTGAATTTAAAGTGATGAAGATGAGGAATAATTGTACCATTAAATTGTTTTCTTCATTCGTCTAAGTGTACAGTTTTCATTGATATGATTATTATTTTATTTTGTATAGCTAATGGGACATGTTAAGTCAATGATTTTAGAGTAATTTATATCTGTACTTACTTTTGTTGAATATATTTGTCAAGTTGTTGCTTTTTTATTATTTTGTTTGTCCTTGTATTGACATAACATAAATATAAAAAAACCTAAACACTCACGCCTGTCACCCAGAGGGGTATGCAGATACTACAGATTTCCATTTGGCACGATCCTGACACACCTCTCTCGCCTCCTTCATGTCTATAAACCTACGCATACATGCTCGTCGGTTAAGGGTACTCCTAATTTGGCCCGTTTTCAATAAATCGCCAATTTGGTCGAAACATTTTCGCCTAGGACGTCCCTTTCCGACTCTGCCATTCACTTCTGCAACATAAATTTTCTTTGTCACTCTTTTCTTATTCATTCTCTCCACATGACCAAACCACCGAATCATTCCTATCTTAATCCTGGTCACAACATAATCTTGCAAACCATACTCTTCTATGTTGTGTTGTATGTGTTGTATTGACATGTGTGCAAATATTTAAATGAGCCAATTTTTTTGTATGAAGAATGGGTCAACCTCAAATAGTAGCGTATCTTAATTAAATGCATGTCGATTTATTCCTTGTAGTCCCAGATTATAATAATATTATTACATTTACCGCATCTATCGTAAATACTGAGAAATTAACAATTAAAATATGTATATCACAATAACCTAAAAACGAACTAAAAGCGATTTTCTAGTAGTTAAAAATAGTACACTGTTCAATAATTAACAGTATAAAACAAATTTGCAGGTACATTTGCTCGTTTAATAATAGTATAGGATTTTTTATATTCTTTATCATATAACGTGTATAGGTAATATTATGAATGACTTCAATTATATTTTTTTAATTACTGTAGTGTTGTTTTGGATTAATACTCACTAATAAATGGTTCAGCAGTGGACCTGTGAAGGGCTGTAATTATTATGATGATGATGTTTCCTCGTCACGTTTGTTTGTCACTTCACTATGGAATTACACTCTGACTCTACCACACTTTCACTTATGAATTTTTTTCCGGAATTACTACAAGGATTTTCAATCAATCTTAAAGTACCTATAAATGGCGAATGTACCTGCAACTTTGTTTTATACTGTTAATTATTGAACAGTGTACTATTTTTAACTACTAGAAAATCGCTTTAATTAATTTTTAGGTTATTGTGATATACATATTTTAATTGTTTATTTCTCAGTATTTACGATAGATGCGGTAAATGTAATATTACTATTATAATCTGGGACTACAAGGAATAAATCGACATGCATTTAATTAAGATACGCTACTATTTGAGGTTGACCAATTCTTCATACATAAAAATTGGCTCATTTAAATATTTGCACACATGTCAATACAACACATACAACAACAACATAGAAGAGTGTGGTTTGCAAGATGATGTTGTGACCAGGATTAAGAAAGGAATGCTTCGGTGGTTTAGTCATGTGGAAAGAATGAATGAGAAAAGAGTGACAAAGAAAATTTATGTTGCAGAAGTGAATGGCAGAGTCGGAAAGGGACGTCCTAGGCGAAAATTTTTCGACCAAATTGGCGATTTATTGAAAACGGGCCAAATTAGGAGTACCCTTAACCGACGAGCATGTATGCGTAGGTGTATGGATGTGAAGGAGGCGAGAGAGGTGTGTCAGGATCGTGCCAAATGGAAATCTGTATTCTCTGCCTACCACTCTGGGTGACAGGCGTGAGTGTTTATGTTTATTATGTTTATGTTATGTCAATACAAGGACAAACAAAATAATAAAAAAGCAACAATTTGACAAATATATTCAACAAAAATAAGTACAGATATAAATTACTCTAAAATCGTTGACTTAACATGTCCCATTAGCTATACAAAATAAAATAATAATCATATCAATGAAAACTGTACACTTAGACGAATGAAGAAAACAATTTAATGGTACAATTATTCCTCACCTTCATGACTTTAAAATCAAGAGTATAACTAAAACTTTGTCTATGCTAGATTCATAGCAGCTGTTACTGCTGACAGTAAATGTAAACTTATATTTCCGCTGGGCGGGAAATCTTTGGCTTTTAGGAAAGTGTGCCAAGATTAAAGTATTTAACATTTTCTATTTTAATTTATACAGTCCTAGTAGTTTTATAATATATTTTATTATGTTTTTTTTTTAAATTAAAACATTTAACAAATTCAAACTTCATCATTGGCTCCCAACCCCGATTCCCTCCAAGGAATGCCACAAATTTTGGTTCTGAACCACCCGTACCCCTCGAATTCCTGCAAATCTTATCAGGTCATCATTTCAACTAGTAGAGAGCCACACTACTACTCTTCGTTTTCCGATACGAGGCTGCCACTCAAGAAAATTTTTTCCCATTGGATACTCCGACAATAACAAGTAAATTAATAAAATAAAGGCTTCTGAAATCTTCTATAAGATATTAGCCTACTCGGTAAACTTTATTCTGCCTTTTCCAGTAGGTGATGTGATAAGATTCAAATCGAACGCATTTCAAAATGAAAATAAAAAATTTTAATAACTCGACTACAACGCACTATATCGAAAAATTAGATAAAAGAATTAGAAATTTTGGTCCTTAATTATAGAATTTGTTATTTAGTTAATTTTCATCATCATCATTACAGCCTTTCACAAGTCCACAGCTGAACATAGGCCTCCCCCAACTAATGCCACAAAGCACGGTCCTGAGCCACCTGCATCCATCGACTTCCTGCATATCTTACCAGGTCGTCACTCCATCTAGTGGAGGGTCGCCCTACACTACGCCTACCGGTACGAGGCTGCAACTCGAGAACCTTTCTTCCCCATCGGTTATCGGTTCTTCGAGCTATATGGCCGGCCCGGGCCCATTGCCACTTCAGCTTACTAATCCGTTGGGCTATGTCGGTCACTCTGGTTTTACTGCGGATATCCTCATTTCTGAGTCTATCACGCAGAGAAACTCCGAGCATAGCCCTCTCCATAGCTCGCTGAGCGACCTTGAGCGTCCTCATACGGCCAGCAGTGAAGGAAAACGTCTCAGATCCATAAGTCATCACTGGCAACACGCACTGGTTGTACAATCTAGTTTTTAGAGATTGAGTTATACCAGACGAGAAGATGTGTCGTAATTTCCCGAACGCTGCACAGCCGAGTTGAATGCGTCGATTGACCTCTCCGTCGAAGTTGGACTTACCTAGTCGGACTATTTGTCCTAGGTAAACGTACTCGTCAACAACTTCGAGCATAGTGCTCCCAACAACTACCGGCATAGGTGTGACATGGACATTAAACATGATCTTTGTTTTGTCCATGTTCATCTTAAGACCTATCCGTTGGGAGACACCATTGAGGTCATTGAGCATAGTGCTAAGGTCCTCTAGCGATTCTGCCATAAGGACTATATCGTCGACAAATCGAAGGTGAGTGATGTACTCGCCATTGATGTTAATACCGTATCCTTTCCAGTCCAGTAGCTTGAAAAGGTCTTTGTTTAAACGTATTTAGTTAATCTATTACCACCTTTATACTTTATTACCACCTATCGGCTCTAGCTCTAGCATAGCTATGAACCATCGTTTCTACAGAACAAATATGGAGTGTGAAAAAGTTAAAGGATCACTTAAAGACGCACCAATGTTTTTATTTAAATATGTATGTAAAGATATATTTTATATTTTAAAAATTATTTTACATATCTTTGTGTTGTTCAAAAGTGAATAAATAGTCCGTTTGGTTTATTATAATAAAATTCCATTACATAGAATTTGCGGGTTGTGTTGTGAATTATTTATTAAGATAAATAAAAGATATCTTTATAAATATCAATAAAAATGAAAAAAAAAATTGTAAAAAGATAAAAAATATGTGTGTTATAATACACTAGTATCGATTTAAGTTATAAAAAAAGAAATAATCGTTAAGTGTTTATAGATTTAATACAACAAAATTTCATGGAAAATAAGTATATTTTGTATGCATTTTACTTTGAATTCTTTTTAAATAATTTAGTGACTAAATGATGAGCGTATAAAAAGTAAAATTTTTACTGCGTTGTTTGCGGCGTGTCCTGCAAAATGTTATATTCACGTTACCCTGTGGTCAGTGTACGTAGCCTTATCCGTAATCAAATTCAATTTTAACCCAATCTATTTTTGCAGCATCATTATATGCTAGTGATTTCCCGTACAAGGTTCTCCAATGACTACTTTAAAGTTGTTTATGCTAGATTTGTTTCAAGCTATAGCTAATTCCTTAGTCAAACTTGTACAAAGTTTATCAAGTAGCTATTATACCGTTACTCGATACACATTGCTCTGATTACAAGTTTCTCGAAACTAGAGAACAGTTTCATGCATCTATCTATCGTATATGATATCCTTAAATCCTACTAATATTATAAACGCGAAAGTTTTTAAGTATGGGTGGATGGATAAATGGATGTTTGTTACTCTTTCACGTAAAAACTATTGAACGGATTTAGATGAAACTACAATAATATAGATCATACATCATCTGTTTTATATATTATATATATATATATTATATATATATATATATATATATATATATATATATATATTCTTCCTGACATCTATTGGCGAGTATTAATACTATTTTTCAATTGGGAACAACTAACTGCTTTATGAAAAGAACTTGCTACTTCAGTTGATGGCGTTGCTAAGCAACGCTAAGCCAATGAATGTTTGGTTTGACGTTAGACCAAGAAAAGCAATTGTTTGCTTATATTATTGATAAAATAGGTGTCTTTTTACTCCCGTGTTCACTTAAAAATGCCTAAAAGATCTTTGAAAAACATTCTTATAAACAATCTAACTTCTCGAAGCCGCGACTCGTCTCAAGAACACTTTGAAGACAATCGTCATCAAACACAAACAGGTCAGGTTTCTCAAACTTCACACAGTGAAAACTCATTCCAAGAAAGCCTTCATGAAAATAGTCAGGCATCCGCTTGTCCTACACGTACTGCTAAAGTAAGATGTTTGCAAAACTAACATTATACGAGCATAAAGGTCATATAATTTAGATGTTTCACGAGATCGTGCGTCACAAGGTGTGGCCACTGAAAACGACGAGCAACGGGATCGACGTCTACAAGATTTGCGGCAGCGTGCGGCACAACGTGTTACTACTGAACATGACGAGCAACAGGAAAGACGAACGACAACTGATGCTGGTGTTGAGCTGATTAAATATATATTTGATGCATGGGAGAATTCACAGGATGCTTTGGGTGTATTCTGTGACATATCCAAAGCCTTCGATTGTGTTCACCATGAAACATTAATCAGGAAACTTCAGTACTACGGTGTAAGAAGCGATGCTCTTAAATTGATTCTTTCATATTTAAGTGACAGAACGTAAAAAGTTGTCATTAATAGTATGAGTTGTTCCGGATCGATTGTACAAATGGGCATGCCTCAGGGCTCAATTCTCGGCCCTTTTCTATTTCTAGTATATATTAATGACTTACCTTACATAGTAGGGGATATCCATGATATAGTATTATTTGCTGATGATACTTCATTAATTTTCAAATTAAAACTACAGTTATAAAATTACGACGAAGTAAATAATGCTATAGCTAAGTTAGTCAATTGGTTTAATGTTAATAATTTACATTTGAATGGAACTAAAACTAAATGTATGAATTCAACTTTTTAAATTATTGTTATGGATCATAAACAATAATTAAAAAAGCTGAAGGTACTCCGGGTTTAACAATGACATCGGGACGTCAGTCATCGCAGTCCCCCGTGATCATGGGTATCAATAATAGTAAAATAAACACGATAAAATTCGTAAACGTGGTTTTAAACAATGTGTAGTGTTCGCGTAAATATAAGAAATCTAAATGTATGAAATTCGTAACTCTTAATGTTAAACATGTCAATACTAATGTAATTTTAAATGGGCGGCAACTGATTCTTGTTTATACCACCATTTTTCTTGGAATCACACTGGACGCAAAGCTTCAATTGCTCCCCCATATATCAAAACTAGCTAGCAGACTTAGTTCTGCAGCATATGCTGTGAAAAAAGATTAGAACTCTTACTAGTGTTGAAACAGCTAGAATAGTTTACTTTAGTTATTTTCATAGCATTATGTCGTATGGTATTTTGCTATGGGGACACGTGACTGACACTGAAATTATATTTATTTTACAGAAGAGGGCCATTAGAGCAATATATAATTTAAATCCAAAAGAGTCACTGAGACAAAAATTTAAGGAAATTAATATATTTACTCTGGCCTCTCAATACATTTATGAAAATGTAATGTACGTACACAAAAATAAAAGTAGTTTTGCAAAAATAAGTGATGTTCATTCTGTAAATACTAGGAACAGACACAAGCTAGTAGTACCAGTTACTCGACTCCACCGAGTCAGTAATACATTCTTGGGGCAATGTATACGTTTTTACAACAAAATCCCAGAAAATATACAAAATTTGTCATACACGAAGTTCAAAAATGTTATTAAACTAAGTTTGTATAAAAAGGGTTATTAAAATATTAAGGAATTTATGGATGATAATAACCCCTGGGAAGGGTGATCGCTACCAAGCTATTTCTAATTTGTCTTGTGTTGTTTATTATAAACATTATTGTAAGCTATTATTGGAAAAAAAATTGTCCCGCTGGGTTTCTTGCTGGTTCTTCCCAGGACAGAGGTTTTTTTTGCGAACCAGTGGTAAATGAAAAAAGTGACTTTCATTAAGTATTGTTATAATCTTCATTGAATAAAAAAGTTTCTGTTTCTGTTTCTGTTACGTCTACAAGATTTGCGGCAGCGTGCGGCACAACGTGTTGCTACTGAAAATGACGAACAACGAGAGCGACGCCTGCAAGATTCGCGGCGACGTGCAGCACAACGTATAGTTACTGAAAATGAAGAACAACGAGAATACCGATTAGAAGAGCAAAGACATCGAGACAGAAGACGTCGTAAGGTTTTAGAACTTAATAATTTTTTACCGACTCGGCTTCACCCTTAGGTTCATTTGAAATTTTGTGTATTCATTGTGGTGCATTGCATTTTCCAGAGGAACGCGTTTCTAATCTTATAAATAGTAATTATTTTGGTGACTGTTATTTGCATGGACGAATTTTAATGGAGCGACCAAAATTTTCAAATGACTTAGTACGTCTCTTTTCAAACCGTCACCCATATTCAGAAGAACTTCATAAAAAAATAAGAAAGATAAACGCACATTTTGCTCTAACATCTTTCAGTGCAGAAGATGACAGAACAATAAATAGCCATGGCATTTATAGTTTTATCGTTTGCGGACAAGTGTATCATAAAATGAATATGACAGCTCACCCGACGCAAAATGATTTTGGTGTTTTTGAACGGCCACTATACGGGCAACTATACTTTTTAGATCCTGATGAAGCCGTTAATTAAACAGTTAACCATCCACTTAATTCAGGAATTACTACCTCAATGATGAAGTTATTGGAGTTCATCATTCGAGCTCATAATCGCTATGTTCAGAGATATATAATGATGCGAGAAGTAGAGGACGAAATGAATCGGTTAACTTCTGTTCAAGGGTTACTCCCACCATACGTAAAACTTTTATTTAGAGTTACAGATCAAGTTGATTGCAGAAGGTTTAATATACCGGCGTGTAATGAGGTTTGTTCAGTTTTTACACTAAATGCTGATCAAAGCTTTCCAGATAATGAAATGATTGTTCACCAGCGCAATAAAAAGATTGTCTATTTAAAGAATGTTGATAGGAGAGTTGAGCCATTTACTTACCCATTATTTTACCGAGCCGGCACACATGGTTATAGCTCGGATTTGCAGTTACAAACGCCTTATGCCAGCCGCAGTCATTTAACTCGGCTTGAACTGTCACTATACAGACTTTCGTTTCAACCAGAGTTTGTTAAATTTTTAACAGAATCTACATCAACAGAAGGACCCGATGTCATTAAGTGAAAGTTCATTAAATGAAAGTCCGGTCCGGGAACTTTCATTTAATGCACTGCATTTTGGGGGCCGATTATTTCAACAATATTTAGTTGATACTTACATTCGTGTAGGGTGTGACCGTTTTCAGTGGATAAAATACTCGTATAACCAAAATAAGATTTTGGCTGAACAATATACGGGAGTAACCAGTTTCCTTAATCAACTTGCCGAAAAGAAAAATGCCACAGTTTGTGAGAAGATTATTTTACCCTCCTATTTTCCTGGTTCGACGAGGTATTACACGGAAATTTTAGAAGATGCCATGGCTATTGTTCTACGGTTTGGATCACCTAATTTCTTTATCACCATGACATCGTATCCTAACCGGCCAGAAATAAAGCAGGCACTGCAAATACATTTAGAAGATAAAACAATTTTGCAACAGCTTCCAAAAGATCGTCCTGATATCGTGGCTCGAGTCGCTAAGTTTAAATTTGACCAAATAATAAAAGATTTAGATAAAAAACAAGTCTTTGGAAAGGTATCGGCTTTTGTATACAGCATAAAATTTCAGAAACGTGGATTACCACACATGCACCTGCTTATAATTATGACACCCGGTGACAAGATTCATCAAGTAGAAAAGCTTGATGACTTGATTTCATCCGAAATACCCCAAAATGATGACTAAGAGTTAGGAGAATTAGTACTCAAACGGATTATTCACAACCCATGTGGTGATTTAAATCCCAATGCAACATGTATGGTTCACAAAAATGGAAGAACAAAATGTCGATTTGACTTTCCAAAATCAAACCAGGAAGTTACATCTTTAGTAGATGATGGTAAACCAAATTACCGACGACGCTACAATCCGCAGTTGGACCCTAATAGTCCCCAATTTTCACACGAACATGCAGTTTATCGTAAAGACATAAACGGTTGTCGTATAACACGAGATAATTGTCATGTAGCCCCCTACAACGCATATTTATTGAAAAAAATTAATTGTCATATTAACGTTGAGTACGTAGGGGGTATTTTGGCTGTAAAATATCTTTATAAATACATTTATAATGGATACGACTGTGCATCGATCAAAGTTGTAGAAAAACAAAGGACCCTGATTTATAATGAAGCAAATACATACATTGAAGGACGTTGTGTCACGTCACCAGAAGCATGTTGGCGATTATTTGCTTTTGAAATTCAAAAAAGTCATAGTGTCCAATGAATGGATATTCATTTACCAGGACAATATCGGATTGCAAACTTGAATCAAATCCATGAAGATTTATGCCATTATTATAATTATAACAATCTTAAGACATTGGCCAAAGAAGGTCTACTTTGGAGGCTTATTTTAAGCATAATGCAGAAATTAAAAGACATAGTCACACGTGGATATCACTTTTATTGGCAGATGCCTGAAAACTTTAAATGGATCGGAAGGGAGCCAAGAGTTAGCTGTTTGCAAGTCATTAGTAGGATTCACAATGTGCATTTCGTTGCCCAACCGGAACTTTACCACTTGCGATTGTTACTATTTCATGTAAAAGATGCAACAAGTTTTAAAGACCTTCGAACTGTAACAGACATCCAATATCAGGCGTTTAAACAAGCCTGCTTAGCACGAGGCTTGACTTACGACGATCAACAATGGATAGAAGGATTACGAGAATCTGCATTATCTAAAATGCCTGCAGCAATGCGAAGCCTTTTTGTTCAAATTTTAATTTATGGTTCTCCTGAAAATCCAAAGCATCTGTGGGAAATATTTAAATAAAATTTAACAGAAGATTTTATACATGCAATCCGCCAAATTGGACAGTTTATAGAAAATGCAATTAATCACGGTTACAGAATAATTGCTAAAAAATTAAACACTGAAGTAACAGAAGGCCGAAATTTCCAATACTGCGTACAAAATTTTGACTTTGAGGACATTGATAATTACGGTCTTGAAGATAATCAAGAGAATTTGAACACGGATGAATCAGCAGTATTAGGAGAGCAAATGTAACAGTTACTAAAAGGAAATCAGATAGAAATCGTTAATTCCATTCTTGACGTTGTAAATAGTACAGTTTCTGAAACAAAATGCTTCTTCATTGATGGACCGGGGGGTACTGGAAAGACATTAATATATAAAACTTTATACTACATGCTGACAGGAAAACGATATAGAGTAAAACGTATGGCTTTTACTGGTATTGCTTCCATATTATTACTGTTACGAGCTTGAGGTTCGTAACAATAAAAATTGCCGATAAATTTACCTAAATCAACACTTTAATTTTCTTTACACAAATTTAAACTTAAAACACTAATAATTAATCACACTGATTCACTTTATTTCGCTCCGAAGCTTCGCTTGTCTCGCCAAATTCAATACTTCCCCACAAAATACACATTAGTACCGAATCATCCAGAACATTCAAGTAAATACGCGCACCAATCGACAAAGCGGCGAAAGTTCGAGAGTCAGCTTCCAGAAGCTTAGTTTTTCCTTTCGACAACAGATGGCGCTGTCGGTTGAAAGATTAGTGATGTCATTTTCCTGCAAGCTCTCCCCTCGCTCCGTTACCCGACACTAGATGGAGCTAGTGCGGTCGACTTAGGTGCGTAACCTTACCTAATGGACGTACTTTTCATAACTTTTGGACTAAAAGTACCACTGACACCAGATTCAGTCTCAAGTATTGTACCTAACTCTTCTAAAGCGAGACATTTAGCAGAAATAGATATTTTTCTTATGGATGAAGCTCCAATGCTTCCAAAATATGGATTGCAGAACATTGATCAACTTTTGCGATCCATTGGGAATTCAAATCTCCCTTTCGGTGGAAAAGTAATAGTACTAGGAGGAGATTTTCGCCAATGTCTGCCTGTACAGCCGCGTGCGAATAAGTTTGAGTTATTAGATCTTTCTATCAAGCGATGCTCCTTATGGTCCGTTTTTAAGACTTTTAAACTAGAAGAAAATATGCGCGTTGATATAGAACAACGACAATTTGCTGATTATTTACTAAAATTAGGCAACGGCGAACTGGCCCTAAATACTATGGAAGAAATTGAATTGCCACAGAATATCATTTCAAGCAACAAACCTATTGATGAAATATTTGACAACTGCTTAGCCAATGGAAATTATGATGGGATGAAAGACAGAGTAATACTTGCGCCTCTTAACAAAGATGTTGAAAAAATTAATTATGATATAGTTGCCAAACTTCCCGGAGAGTACAAAATCTACTATAGCCTTGACTCAATTAAAGATCAACTTGAAGGGGCAGTCGAATTTACATTTGAATCTGTTGGGGTTGACTTAAACTCAAGTTCGGTCTTTATGCATGGCATGTTATATGTAGCATTTTCTAGTTAAGGGACCAACTGCGTTAAAAGTCCATCTTCCAAATGAAAATCCTCGACATACCTGCAATATAGTATGGAAAGAAGTATTAGGTTAAGACCCGATTTCATAATCAAAACGTTGATTATACTTACGTAAACCGTAAAAAAGTAAGTACGTGTTTCTAATAAAATGTTAAGCTAATTGCACTCATGGTTTTTTTATTTCAATAACCAGTTCAGTTTTTTTTATTATATCGGTAAGATCGAAAAATGCGTTATTCATATTTCATCAGTATGTAACATGCATCTAAATATAATTTCCAAAAACTAGATATCAAAATTAAAAAATACCGAGCAAAGCTCGGTCATCCAGGTACTTTATTTAATACTTGTTATGTAAGGATAAGAAACATAAAATAAAACGCAACTGCATTTCTTATTATAAATCATTATTTTTAAATTAGTTTCTTAAAAGTAAGGGAATGTAAGACTTTGTTTTAATATTTGAAACTTTTATAATATATAAAAATTTTGATGTTTTGAACTGGATGTGTTTGGGTAAAAAACACAATGCATAATATCACTGTATTTATCATTATTTTCATTTATTCAATTTTTTTTTACGTTGTAGAGCCAAACTGCAGTCGTGTTATGGTGGTAGTAGTATAGTTGTAGCACGAATGGGTCGTCTCAACCGGGGAAGAACCACGCTCTCAGAGGATACCGGCGTAAAATAGCGGCTAAACACTGCTTTTATTCATATGGTGAGTGTAGTGAACCGTAGAATCTTTCCACTGGAAACGAGGTATTCCATCAGGGGTGACAACGCATCTGCAGTTTGATTCTTATTCGAGAATTTTTTATAGGAGAGGGGTAAACGAGCATACAGTTCAACTGATGTTAAGGGACTACCGCCGCCCATGAACTACTGCAACACCAGGGCAATTGCAAGTGCATTGTTAGCCTTTTAGAAAGGAGTAAGATCTTTTCTTGAAGATCTCTAGGTCGTATCGGTTAGGAAAAATCGCGGGTGGTAAACTATTCCACAGAGAGGTCGTACGTGGAATAAAACTCCTTGTGAAAAATCCAGTGGTGAACCCCCAAGCATGCAGATGGTGTGGATGGTATCGGGAGGTTTGCCGCGTAGTGCGTTCATGAAATTTGGTGGCTAGGATTAATACGAACAATGCCAATAAATGAATATGTTTATGGGTTACAGCATCCACTTGCCATCAGGTGAGTGTGATCGTTTGTCATCATTATATTATAAAAAAGTAGCACAAACAGTTGTTGTGCGTAAACTTTGTTAATATATATTGATTCATTAATATTACTAATTATTGAAGCCCAAAAGAAGAATATTGATTAGGTATATACTGTGATTAATAAAATATTGATCAATAAACTTTATTACATTAGAATGGACTATATAAACTAATTATTACACTTTATTCACTTTTTCTTTACTATATATTTTATTATTTATATAAATAATAGCATACCGAAAGAGAACAAAAAATACAAATATTCTTTTTTGACATTGATTTCTGATTTATCAGTCGTATCAAGTCATTTGCATAATAGCTAATACTGCGTGAGGCATCATGTGGTATCCCGGTGGTCACGTCTGAAGGCAGCCGTAATTCTCTACCAATGTTTGCAAAAGCTGGTGTCACTGATGTACTTTCGTGAACAGCGCTTTAATATGACAACAATAACGTTTGTATGTGCTTGTCCCAATCTCGTTGCTGATTGTCAGCAACTTTTGCTAGGTACCTCTCCAATATCTGATTAAATCGTTCAACCATTCCATCAGAAGAGGTAAGAAGGTAAGAAGTCGTTCTTGTTTTGTGAGTATCCATAACTCAGTTTCCTGGAATATTAGAGATTCAAAATTCCTTCTTTGATCGCTGTTAATCTCTAAAGGTACTCCATGACAGAAGAATTCATTAACTAGTTTATCTGTAACTGTTGAAGCTTCTTGATTTGGAATGGCGAAGACTTCTGGCCACTTAGTGAAGTAATCCATCACAACCTTGTTACCACTTTCACTTTCCGGAAACGGCCCCGCCACGTCAATGGCTATTCTCTCCCATGGTGCACCATCATTGTACAACTTCAATGCAACTCTACTACGAGTCTGAGGTCCCTTTATAGCCACACAACTTGTACATTTGCGACCCCAGTCCTCGACATCTTTTCGATAGTGGACCCAGTAAAACCGTTCTCGGATATTCAGTAGAGTTCGTTTAAATCCCAGACGGCCTCCTGAGCAATCATTTTTGTACAGCTGTAGAAAATCCGGTAATTTAGCTTTAGGGACAACCATTTGCAAATGACAGTTGTCTCTCTGACCATTTTCCCATTTACGGTAAAGGACTCCATCCTAAATCGGCAAGCTCTCCCATTAGACCCAATAGCTTTTCGTGGTAGGTTTGAGAGTAATGGCCTTCATCGATTCCAGGATCGGCTTGATGTTCGAATCTTTCTGCTGTGCATCTCGTAGGCTGCTGGCTCGAAGATGGCCCCTTTCCCCATAGCCATAGCACCTAGGGATGTATCTTTTATTAGCTTCGCGAACTGTAACTGCTGCAACCTCCCTAATGCGAGGGGAACGATGATCCCGCCGCTGCTGGGTGGTGCTATTAGCCACACTACCTTTTCGAGATCGATAATTTAGCTTTTCTACATTTCGATTTGAGGAGCTGGATCGAAGATGGCCCTTTTTCCCACAGCCATAGCACCGAGGGCTGTACCCTCTGTTGCGGTCGCGAACTGTTGTTCTCTCTTGATCTCTCATCTTCCCGTACGGCTTCCAACTCCAGTGCATGGGCCAATGCGTCATAGTAGCTCACAGAAACTCTGACTTAAAGGTCGCGGATGCCGTCGGTAGGCTTTTCGAACCAGTTTATCCACCTCAAGTGCCCACTGCTGCAGAATTTCGTTGCTGCATTGCACGCGGTCTTCAAGCTGCGCATGAAAGACTTGTTCCAGATGAGCGTCGCCATATCTCGCCTCCAAGCCTCAAGGAGCTGCTCGCAAGTCACTTTCTTACCGAGAGCTTCCAAAACAGTTAAGGCTTGGTCGCGTAGGCCTAGGGTGAGTGCAGTCATGGTCTGACTTTTATTCCAGTCGTTCACGCAACAATATCAAAAATAATCCCAGATATTGCTCATATCCACGATAAGCCGATGCAATGGTTTTGTGAACGTGCCATAATAACCCCAAAAAACGGCCAAGCAACGGCGATTAATGATATACTGTTAATGTCTTTTGATGGGGAAGAAATGGTGTACACGTTAATAGACTCCGTAGTCAACACAGATGACGCTTAACTACCCTATCAAATTTCTTAATTCAGTGAAACCATTGGGTCTTCCACTTCATAAGCTTATTCTGCGCGTGGGTACTGCTGTCATGTTGTTGCGAAATTCAAAACCTCCTCAATTGTGCAACGGAACCAGACTAAAGTAAAAGCGTTACATTGCAATGTAGTGGAAGCCACAATTAATTCTCAAGAATTACCTTGATCGCGAATGATATTCCCTTTGAATTCAAACGATTACAGTTTTCCCTCAAAGTCTGCTTTGCAATAACTATAAACAAATCACAAGGGCAGAAATTAAAATTTGCAGGTATAGACTTGAGAGAAAATTGTTTTGACACACGGCGAATGCTATGTGGCGTGCTCACGAGTAAGCTCGCCCAGTAGGCTGATAATTTTGGCACATAGTAATTAAATATTAGTAAAAATGTGGTGTATAAAAAGGTTTTGTAGTTTACTAGCATTTGCCCGCGACATCCATTTATAATTGTGTCTTGTACCAGCAAACTCATTTTCAAACATGGGCGCGATATAACCGAATTCCTTGCGGACGAGGTCGCAGACAAAAGCTAGTACATAATATATGTATTTAATAAGTTATCTTTTTAAAAAAATATTTTTCTTTTTACTATACAAACTGAAAATGAACACGAATATCAAAACAACCCTTTTTTATTTCATGATTCCAGTTAGATTTTTGTGAAATCTTTAGGCATTTTACTAACTAACAAATTAGTATTTTTTTTTATACAAAATACCATTAAGTGTCGTTAAAATTTCTAGTAGGCCCAAAAACGATTATCTTCTTTAAGTGCTTATTTATATATGTTTGCAGTAAATGTTTCACTCTTTATTTCTATTTCATGCCGGAACACCTCTTGTAACTTTACTTGGTTCAGGTTCGGCTTCACATGGGATACAGTTCTCGACTCTGGGCCCTGACACCTCATTATCAGCTCCTTGCACTCGACCGCATCTAGCGAAAACCGCCTCGAATTGTTGATGATTGAGTTCTTTCTGATCGGCTCGTTTTATTGGCGTTGTAAAAATAATTTTAGGAATTATTTGGATTAACTCCATTAACGCACACCGTGAAAAAAACCACCATACCATTCATACCATCTGCATACTTGATGGTTTAACACTGTGCTATTACTAAGTGTTTTTTCCTAGACACAATAAAACTTAAAACATTCATTTAATTATTAGGTGCAAGATTTTATTTTAGTTTTTGCTCTGGTAAAAATAACTCAGACAGAAATGAAGAAATCATGAAGTGGTAAGTAACTCTTGCCTGATCGTAGATTTATGTTCCTTTTATTATGTAAGTATATTATCCATGCTCAAATAATCTTTAAAAATGTCTGATTATGATTTTTTTTATGTTTTCACATCAAGATTCGGTAGTCGGTAGGTCGATTTTTACCTGTCGCGATTTTTTTTACTAAGCGCCACTAATTTCGAATATGGTAAGCAAAACGAGAACTTGTTCACATGTAAAGTTGCCTATGTGTTGCTTCGTAGTTTTTGCCAATCCACCGTCGATATAGAGAAGTGAGCGCAAATCTTCATCAAAAAAAAAAAACACACTGTTAATAATAAAATAAAATTAAAACTGGATATTATTTCAATTTGAAAAATTAAATTGTCATAAAATATATTATACGAGGCTCTCAGACGTTTTACGACGCTTTTTCGTTGCTCGA